TGCAGCTGCCATTAAGCACGAAATTAGTAATCATAACAGAATTTTTTTACGCACATTCCATGAGTGTCGAAACTTTGCATGCATGTTCATGATGCTAAATACGAAAAAGTCACAAAATATCAAGAATAAAATCATGTATTTTCAACAACTCAAAAACCGAGGCAAACTGACCCGCAAGGGTTAAAACTAATAATATAATACTATATATGTGTGTACTGTGTTTATTTATTATGTATATATACTGTAAATACACACACATCATGCATGTATATAAGAAAAATATGCTATGTTTATATATTAAATATAATATAAAATATAATAATATAAATATATAAATGTATATACATGTAAATATTTTCAATATATATATATATATATATATACTGTATGTGTGTGTATTTATACATGCATAATAAATAAACACAGTACATATACATATAGTATGTAAACAAAAACTGCGATTAATCGTTTGACAGAACTAAAACATACGTTTTAAGGTTTTGAAACCCCCTAAAGTATGAGCAAACAGAATCGGTGCTGCTCGACTGAACAAACACCACTAATTAAACAGAACTGTGTTTGCACGCATTTGCAGCTGAATGATTAAATGATGAATTTTGCCTTCTGTCTGATTGTTTTGTAGTCGATTAAAGTGGTAACAATGGCCCTCACACTCATCTACAGGCCTGTATTTCCCCTCAGGACGCCCTCGGGAGCGGGAGAGGCAGATTTCCACAGGTGTGCGCAGGTGAGCGCCTCTTTGTTTTAGGGCTCTCGAGACGCCTCGGGCTCTGCTGCGTCCAACAATGGCTGCAAAACAAATGATGAAGGAGAAGAGGAGAGAAAACCGGGGAGCCTAAAACAAGAAACCGAGGTCGGGGAAGGTCAGATGGAAAACTGATTGCGAAAAAGGAAAGAGAGCATTGAGTTTGGCAACACAAATGAAGATTGATCATCATTAGCTCATTTAAATTAACTGCGTTGGCAACGGCCTGGTGAACAGAAGCACTTATCTGAGCCTTCACGGGCTCCAGTCTGTAACTGAGCTCACTGCTGCCATGAAATGTATCAAACGCACCACTAAATGGACCAATTCTGTTTATAGGAACTGTGGGCAGGCTGTGGCAGACTCCATGCCCCTGTAAAAAGATAATATGTTCCCTATTAAATGTCCTTTGGATGACAAATTGCTTCCAGAAAAAAAAAGAAATGGAAGTTAGGGAAATGAGCTGTGACATTTCAAAACAGACATCCACTCTTAATTCCTTGAGTTTATAATTCTAGATGTTTTTACACTCATCTATTCACTTAACGAACATTTGAGTTCTTCCATTCTTAGTGTGCAAAGCTACGGAAGTCGTTTTCTCCACGTTTATTTTGGAGCTTTTGCTTTTTCAAAGAGCAAACGAATGCAAAACGAAGAACTACTGTGATAAATAAAACATTTAAAAACTACAGAAGCTTGTTTCTGCCACAGAATAAAACATAAAAAAGGTAATTGCGACTTTTCATCTCACAGTTCAGACTTTTTCTTACAATTGTGACTTGAGAAAAAAAATCAGAATTGCGATATAAACTCACAATTCTGAGAAGAAAAGTCTGAGTTGTGATATATAAACTCGTAATAGTAAGAAAAGAATGTCTGAATTGTGAGAAAAAGCCTCAATTACCTTTATTTTTTTATTACGTGGCAGAAACAAAAAACAGAATTGCGAGAAAAAAGTCAGAATTCAAAATAGTTGATTATGTATATTATAAAGATAAATGCAAGTTAATATCTCACAATTACAACTTTTTTCTCACAATTTTTCACACAAAAATTCCAAATTGTGAGAAAAAAATCTGAATTGTGAGATATAAAGTTGCATTTATCTTTTTTATTTTTTTATACCATTTGCTTCGGAATAAATGCATACAAGATAAACTATTATTGGACGGATTGCAAGCTTGTAAATATTAATTCAGGCAAGTATAAACTAAAATAGTTATTGGATTTGAATTACTATTATAACTTATAATAATAATGAATAGTAGCAGTAATGAAAACAAGAGAAAAAACATATCCCACTACTGTTAGCCATTTAATACTTTAGGCACAGTATTAATTATATTAAAGTTTAATTTTGCTTGTTGTTTGCTACAGTATATCGGCATGATGTCAGAATCATGTTCTAATGCCCTAAAATAACATATATCGTCAATTATGTACCCTTGCAGTTTCTTTTGTCTCAGCATTTCTATCTCAACATCATTTATAAAACACTGGGGCAACATTATAATTGTACAACCAATTTTTAAATGCAGCATTGGGTTGCTTTTAAAATGCAGCCCCAAAGTATTAGAAGAAGACTTTTGAAAACTGCATAAACAAATGTTCAGAGAAATTTAAATTTGACAGGAAAATAGCTTTAGAGCGGGCGAGAGAGAGCGAGAGAGAGATGGAAGGATGTTGAAGTGAGTGATTTGGGTTGGCAGGGTTCTGGTGGAGGAGTGTGGTGGTTCTGAAGTCCTCCAGAAAGAGGCGCCAGTGTGTCCGGCAGGGGCCCTGACCATGAGCCACTTCCCCCTCGTCTCCCCCCCGGAGTCACGGCCACAACGCCCCCCTCAACTCACCCGCTGGCACGCTGAGGGCCGCTGCCACCGCATGCTTCTTTAATATCCAGCAGAAATTGAAATATCTTTGTGGGTTTGCACACAAACAACTAAAAATATAAACATAAAACCTTAAATAGTATATCAGTGGTACTAAAATAACACTATAGGCCAGTGAAATATTTCAGTTCCACCCAGTCTAAAATGATGTTTCGTTTCATCTTTAAGAAGAAGGAGAAGAAGGCTTGGTCTCTTGCATTCATGTAGCATGATGCATGTCAAGATGCATGTATGAAGGGGCGACGTGTTGTTGAGGGACGCACTGAAATTAACGCGCGGCTCGTCCTGCAGTTAGTGTGAGCCCATAATGACGCTGATCATTACAGATGAGAATTCCCTTCAACAGCCTGGGTTTGGATCCGGAACGCTCCACTCCGTGTTAGGTACGCAGGAGCTAACCCATTAAGGGCCTTATAGGCAAGTAATAATATTTTGTAACTGATACGGAACTTAATAGGTAGCCAGTGCAGAGACTGTAAAATTGGGGTAATATGATCATATTTTTCAAGTCATTCAGCAATGGCAATTACATTAATAATTCAGACGGCAGTGAACAGCTCATCAAATGCTTAGATTAAAGCTTGATAAATGAGACAGTATGGCACTGCTACAGCCAAAGATTTATTTATACATAGAAATGTTATCATTTCAAATGCATTTTTCTGCTCCAGCACATATTATAGCTTCATTGTGTGGAACGCTGACTAGGGATTCATTGTAGTCGACAAAAGGGATTGTTATGATGTGTTTAATTAAATGTTTACTCTGTGTAAATATTTAATTAAGCAGAGATGTTTATTTCTGTGTATACTATGTTTTAGTGAGATTAAAATAATGGCCAATGATAAAAAGTTGTTTTTTGAAATGAGGGCAGGTCCAGATGAAACACAATGCTGCCCCACTGAGGAGATGTGAGAGCTGCACATAAAGAATGAAAGAAACAACAAAAACTGTATCATATCTACATGTCTAAAATAAACAATAAAAATATACAATGTGCATTTCCTGAAGAAAATCTGGTTTATTGTGCTAAAGGGCGTTGTTGTGATTGGATAAGATTTTGCTCATGTTTTTGCTGGAGGGCATTTAGTGCGTTGCTATGCAGTTTTTGAGCTGTTCTGATTGGTTTTCGCGCGTTGCTATGCGGCCGTTGGGGTGTTCTGATTGGTTGCTTACCTTTTTTAAACGACCCAATGTAAGTTTCTGTGATGATCATGTGGCTTGGATGGTTGTTGTTACCATAGATATGTAACGTTATATATACATATCTATGGTTGTTATGCCTTTTCCATCGGTGCAAAGTGACATTTTTGTAGTTTAATATGTGTTAAAAGAACTAACACTAATTCTGAACAATATATATGAGCTTTACGTGGGTTCAGCAAACTTCATTCGGCTATTCACACATTAGGTTTTAGTCAAAACATTTCATCAACTCAATATAAACCACTAATTTAATAACACTAGGCAGAGACACTTTTGCAAACTATACAAAGCAGAGGTTGAATTTCTCCACTAGATAGAGCCATAGATGTGTATTTGGTAAGCAGCTGGGTTTATCAAAGGTGACAGAACAAATACATGTGAAATAAAATATTGGAATTAAATGTCAAGTATATAACTTTGATTCATTTTAGAATCACATTTATTTGAATTGTCGTGAAGTTGATATTGATAAGATACTAATGATGATTATGATGATGATCTGGGCTCTAAAATTGTTTAACAAAATCCTGTGAATAAAGCATCCAAATCAAAGGGTTTATACTGAGCAGCAATTTTATTTTATGTGGTGATTAAAACAGATTATTCAATTAGTTTTGAGGCCCAAATGTTCTATTTATTGCTCAGGTAAAATTAATAAATATATTCAGTTTAATTGACTGAGAATAAAGCATTCAGGTGTAAATTATTGTTTTGATTTTAATGTGGCGGCGTCGAGCACCCCCTGGAGTCAACAAAACTGTATTGACATAATTAACATATATAATATATTAAATATTAGGTAAGTACGGTAGAGAAAGTAGTAACTAAATAAGGTTAAGTAAATAAAGAAAATAAGGAAACAAGGGGATACAAGAAAGTTATGTTAAATACAAGTAACTTAGTAAATAAACAACTGGGAATTAATATTATTAAATAATTAGTTTCTATGGAAACCCTATTAGCATTACAGTGGAAGTGCTGGCCTACATTCAAACATCGATTTAAACACAGACGTTAAAACCGATTCAAACGTCACATCGCAGTGGCCTCCCATTGGCTGTGTTCGTCTGCGCTGCGTCACCTCATTGGACGGTGAGCGTCTATGGCAAGCCGTTTTAGCATGAAATACTTCTTGCTGACGTCACGCACTACTTTCAGTCGACCGCCTGATTTATGTACGAATCGTTTGGACGACGTGATCGCGAGGGAAAAGGAGGCGTTAATGAGCGATAACGAACGGAACACCGAACAGTTTGCGCAATTGCGGTGCTGGTTTATGACACGCGCTCTTTGGGACATAATCTGCGGGAAAAAGCAGAAGCTCGCGCGTGCTTGTTTGACTAGTCAGTCGGATTTCAGCACCAGCCCAAGGACAGCACGCTAGCATGTGTCTTTACTATAGTAAAACGGTGTAAACGCCAGTGTGTTGTGGAGATAAGAGCGGAATGGCATCGCGATGGATCGCGATAATCGCTTTACTGCGGGGTGAGTTCAACCTGCTCATGTTTAATGTCCATCTGCTCCATGTAATAACACTGAGGTAATATTGTACTACCATGTTTTTTTGGTACAATAATGCCATTTATAACGCTATACCATAGTGTAATATTCATGTAGCCTACTAATATTACAGTTCTATGTAAATATTAAGCTGTAGTACGTAGTTAGTGGTATATGTATCAAAGTAACATGGTAATACCATGTTGTCTATGGCAGTATTCCTTGGAGTAGCGTGTACATACCATTGTATAGGAATATGGTAATCATTCAAAGCTATATTTCAATGTTTTTGGATATCACGAGAGTACCATACTTATAAAATAGTACCACCATGTTTATTTGACATTTATACGTTTGGCAGACGCTTTTATCCAAAGTGACTTATGATCTATTTTAATCAGTTCATGCATTCACTGGGAATCGAACCCACAACCTTGTTGTTGCAAGCGCCATACTCTACTGGAATATATTTTAAGGAAGTACCTTGGTGTACCATGTAAATACATTGTGCTTTGGTCATTTGGTGCCATATATATATCAATGTACTTTGGTATTATTATCATCTGATAGAGTGCTTTTGTGTACAATTCATTGATCCTGTGTCTAGTTTAATTTTATTACCAATATTTGAAAGATTTAAACTATGTTATGGTCCTTATTTGACCCTTTACTTCATGTTGGCATTGTCACAGGAGCTTTATACAATGATTTATTATATTATGCATTTGGGAGATTCTTTTATCCAAAGCGACTTATATTGCATTTAAGGTACTACCAGTTCTTTCTTTGCTTTGCCTAGGAATCAAACCTATGACCTTTGGCTTTGCTAGTGTTTGAGCAACAGGAAAGCACAGTACTTTTATACAGTATAGCGATCCTTTCATTTCCACACGGTGTAATACTGACATCAATGTACGTATAAGCTGTGCAGGATTTCCACTGGCCTGCTGCTCTGGTTGCGCTTTAATTACGCGTCTGATCCGCTTACAGCTTCTGTTCTCTGGTCATTATCTGGTGTGTGTGTGTGTGTGTGGTCACTTCCCATGAGTCACCGAAACTAGACTGACCTGCCAGAAGAGCCAGAGAACACTTACAGAAATTACCGTAGTTTCCACCAAAATACAGTCATTGTTAGTTACTGTCATAACAATAAGCCAGAAATACATCTTTAAAAGAAATGAGAATGACAGAAAGATTTCTTGCTTAATACAAATGCGCTCTCCTTTAAATAGCAGTTGGATTTGGAGTCTTACTAGTTGTAGTAACATGTCAGATGTGTCCTGTCCTGCATTGAGTACTATGGTATTTTGGGCGAAACAGTTTACACAGTGGTAAATGTTTGTGATTGGAAACCTGTCAACACCTGTTTTGTTTTTCAGGTTGTGGTTAAACAGGAGAGGTGACATCATGCTTATGTCAACACTCAACCTACAATAGCTTAGTTTATCTGATCTTGTTTACATATCTGCATTCACAATCACCAGTCAAACACTGAGTCACCCAGACAGCTCGCCAACTGTGGGAAGGGTTTTGCATTGGATTTCAGAAGTTTAACTCTTGCTACCTAGTGCGTCAAACCCAAATTTACCTCTGAAATTGCCCTATTTTATTGAATTAGTTCAGCATAAATATTTCAAATAAACATTTTTTGGGGGGAGAAAATGAGTGAAGAAATGCGTCAGCTGTTATTTAATCTTGCTTAAATTTGCTGCAGATGCTGATATTTATATTATGAAATTGTAGTGCTTGTAATGTAAATCAATGAGATCTTTATAACAATACAGGAGCAGATACTGACATAAAATTATCCAAATATCAGTCGTCACGCTATATCTCCAATAATATGTCTTAGTAAGATGAGATTGAAATGATCTAATGCAATGCTGATTGAGAGATGAACAAATAAAGGCTCCTCAGGAGATGTGAGATGTTCTGGAGGCTTGTGAAGATCATTCCTCCGCTGAGGAACAGTGAAAGTAAAGCTTCTGGAAACAAACGCTCCTTAAAAGATCCTGAGGATCAGATTTGAGACTCTAAAACATGATTGATGGAGAATCAAGTAAAGCTGAGCTGCTTCAGTCCAGTAAGTGTTCATCTGGAGATATTACTGCAGTTATTCTGATGTTTACTTGATCAAAATCAGTCAAGATTTGAGAGCAAAAAGACACGTGAAGCACAAGCTGAAAGAGCTTACACAAGAGCTTTGACTTGATAAAAAACTATCAGTCAGACGACAGAAGACATGAGTAGATTGAGTGCAACAGGTTTAACAGCAAAGTTAGATCATGTCGATCATTTAAAGGTCTTAGAAGTTCATGTATCAAATGTAATGTAATAGCTTAATATGGTTAAGAGTGTCTGGTTTATTTCTGGTTCCTTTAGCAGAATGAGGATGTATGCAAATAACCTTCAGACAGGTCTGCAAAATGACTCGCCCTATGAAAACGATGGGTTCAGCTGTGAGCTCACAGGTTGTAAAAGACTGGCAGAATGGCATTAGTGTTCATTACTCTGACCCTTTCATTCAGAGACGCATTACAACATGCTCAAACAAAGGGTGGGCATGAATAAACAATACATACGCCCTGTCCTGGGAATATGGGGCATATTTGACGGTGCCCTCATTTAAGTGGGAATATTGTGTAGTGTGCTAATTTATTGATCTCATTCAGAAAACTGCTATGCATGTGTTGATTCCTACTGTATAAAAATTATATTTATTTATAATAGCACCAATAAAACAACCAAAGTTGAAGTGCTTTACACATACACCAGAGACATAAAACCATGATCAACATGACACGCCACATACCACTACATATAAAACATATATCAGTTCAGATTGAATTGAAAATACAACTTTATATCAATTATAAAAATAGCAAATTGCATAATTTTTATCACAACCAACCATTCTGGCCTATTAAAGATTTAATTTTCTAAAACTAGTTTCTGAGAGGTGTCAGAGAGGAGATTGAGATAAAATATGAAGAAAAATCAAGGTAAATATCAGTATTTTTATTGTGTACTGTTTCCAATCAAGCTGTAATTTGGTGCAAGTATGCAGAAAATGTTAAAATATTTTTTTAAGATTGTATTTAGAATGCATCACATACTAACTAGAAGATATGCAGTTTAGTTTCTAAAAGCGGCATAGGTGAAGAAACACCTGTACATGTACATTTTGAACAATCATTGTGTGTGTGAATCATTTTGTGTGTTCGTGTCCTCGTATATTGAAACTGCAGATGCTTGAAAACACTACGAGCATCACATGTGCTTTAGTAGGTGTGGAATAGATTAAATTTAATTAGAATTTTTTTGTGCAATATTCCCATTTAAATTAGATTATTTGAGTGTAAATATTGTGCAGTGTGAGCTAATTGATCGACCTCGCTCGGAAAACCGCTTTGCATGTAGCGATCCCTGTGGTTAACCTTCAGACTGATTAACATTCGTTCTGTTTGTGTGTTAGAGTTGCAGTGCTGCGTGTGCCGTGAGGTCACTCTTCCCGCCGGGCCGCTGTATCGGGTCGCAAGTTTCTCGCTGTCCCTGCCCTGCGCCGTTTCGGGATACGAAGGTCCACGGACGCAGGATTTTGAGTGGTATCTGTACCGGGAGGATGCTGAGGGTCGGCAGATCGGTGTGGTGTCCACACGGGACGCAGGCTTTCCGTATGCGCCGTTCCAGGGTCGCGTGCAGGCCGGCGAGGTTCGAGTCGAGAGGGATTCGGGCGACAAAGCCAGACTGATCATCCAGAGGCTGCGTCCAGATGATCAGGGCCGTTACGAGTGTTACACGCCCAGCACTGACACCCGCTTCCTAGGGAACTACAGCTCATCAGTGGTGGTCAAAGGTAGGTGGTAAATCAGAAAAAATGACAGATTGGTTGATGATTATGAAAGTTATTAAAAGAAATTGTGTTACAAATGCATGTGGGAAATTCTTATTAGGGGTTTCTGCAGGTCTTAAATAGTCTTAAAGGGATAGTTTACCCAAAAATGAAAATTCTGTCATTAATTACTCACCCTCTTGTCGTTCCAAACCCGTAAGATCTTCGTTCATCTTCAGAACACAAATTAAGATATTTTTGATCAAATCCAATGAGCTTTCTGACTCTCCCATGGACAGCAAGGTTACTACCATGATCAAAGCCCAGAAACGTAGCAAGGAGATCGGTAAAATAATCCATGTGACATCAGGGGTTCAACCGTAATTTTACGAAGCTAAGAGAATACTTTCTGTGCGCAAAGAAAACAAAAATAACGACTTTATTCAACAATTCTCCTCCTCCTCATCCCTTATGCTGTGCTATGCCATGCGCATGCATCGTTTACATGAAGCGGAAGCTAGCGCATGCATCGTGATATTGTCTCCACATTGGCGGCGTGCCACAGCATACAGGATGATAAGAAGAATTGTTGAATAAACTCATTATTTTAGTTTTCTTTGCGCACAAAAAGTATTCTCATAGCTTCGTAAAATTACGGTTGAACCACTGATGTCACATGGACTATTTTACCAATGTCCTTACTATGTTTCTGAACCTTGATCGTGGTAGTAACCTTGCTGTCTATGGGAGGGTCAGAGAGCTCTTGGATTTGATCAAAAATATCTTAAAGGGTTAGTTCACCCAAAAATGAAAATTAGCCCATAAATTACTCGCCCTCAAGTCATCCTAGGTGTATATGACTTTCTTCTTTCAGACGAATCCAGTCGGAGTTATATTAAAAATGGTCTTTGATCTTTCAAGCTGTTTAATGCCACTCAGCGGGTGTTGCATGCATCAGTCCAAAAGAAGTTAAATAAAAAGCGCCCATCCATAAAAAAAAAAGTCTCACACGGCTCCGGGGGGTGAACAAAGGCCTCCTATAGCGAATAGATGCATTTTTGTAAGAAAAATATACATATTCAAAACGTAATAATCACTTTAATGTAGCTTGCGCCAACAGTTGTACATGGAAGCAGCTTCAGGTGGATGATGTATGAGGTCGGCTTTGCGCATTTAAAAAAAATAGTATTTATTGTAAAAAAATATATATTATTATATATAAAAATGGTATGAAAGTTTTGAAACCATATGAAAGCAACATGAATACAAATTATTTACTCTCTCTCTCTTTCTATATATATTAAAAAAATAACTATCATGTGTTTTTTTTAATCATGCATATTATGACATTTTCTTGGGGTTTTACTGTTTAATATTTTGCATAACCTATTGAGTCATGTCATCAAAATGGGCAAAAAGAACATTTTCTGAATGGTTTTTAAGAAACATATTCTTACATATAAATATGAATTGAAAGCATTTTGTCCTTTATTTCCGCAGTGATTCCCGACACGCTGCTCATAACACACTCTCGCATTCTGAGCGGCCAACCTGTTATCGAAGGCACGGAGCTTCAGCTGACGTGCGCCACGTCTGTCCAATCGGATCAGCACACTCACGTGTCCGTCACGTTCGGCGTGCGCAGCAGCAGGGGCCCGGAGTCTCAGGGTCACAACCTCAGAGAGATCATCGGCATCGACCGCGAGCTGCGCGTGACACCGGGCCGCAGCGGCGCCTACGGGAAGAGATACGGGGACGGAGAGATCGCTGTGGAGAAGCGGAAGGGGGACGGAGGCCGGGATCTGTACGTACTGAAGATGAGCGCTCTGGCACCCGAGGATTCTGGGTCATATTTCTGCGAGGCTGCGCAGTGGATCAGAGATCCGGATGGCAAATGGGAACGCATCGAACAGAGGACCATGGAGCTCGGGAATCTCACCGTTCAACCGCTTGGTTAGAAACATTTACATTTACATCTAGGCATTTAGCAGGCGCTTTTTATCCAAATGAGGACAATAGAAGCAATCAAAACCAACAAAAGAGCAATACATTTACATGTAGTCATTTAGCACACTTATTAATACTTCTTTTTATTAATAAGTAATATTATTACTTACAATAATGTAAGTGTTTCGGGTAGCCTAACGCAGTACACGTAGCAAGGTTTTTATTTATTTATTTATTTTTTATAATAAGTAAAAAGAAAACAAGTAGATAGAATAGAGAACATTCGTTTTAGAGGGTCTCTTTTTTTTTTTTTTTACAAAAAAAAAGTCGAAAGAATAGAAAAATATTTTAGAACGTTAGTGTTAGAGGATCATTTTTTTTAAATAAAAATAAAATAAGTACATAGAATAGAGAATAGAATAGAGTAGAATAGAAACAATCTCTCTTATTTAATCTGATCTATTACAGTGTTTCCCCTGCCATTATATTATATACCCCCCAAAGGTACCCCTGCCCCCCTTGAAGGTCAAGTTAATTTTATTGAATTGTATTTTCTCTATAGCGCCAGATCACAGCAGAAGTCATTTAAAGTTACTTTTTCTTATAGAACAGGTCTATACCTTATTCTTTTATTAAACAAACTAAATAGCCTTATGTTATTTATCTTATTTAAACGACGGTTTTGTGTACTACTTGTACTGAAGCGCGCGTGACGCTTCCGGTGATATTAACATCTGTCGTCTCACTAATGAGGACATAAACACATGAACAACATCTCCAAAACTGCTCTGAGAGTCACTTCATGAGCATTTTACCGTTTCATTTGAGTAAAACGATCCTCATATCATATAAACACAGGAATTTAAAGGTATTCACGGCAACCCATCAAAATAAAAGTTCGGTTTAACTTGAAGACATTGCGGCAGAAATATATTACTATTGTTCAGTAGAATGTACGAAATAGGCTACTACTACTACTAAAATTATTAAAACCTTATTTTTAAGGAATAATCATACAATATTTCTTCAATGTTTTAATTGTAATATTAAATCCCCTTTATTTTCCAAAAATAACATTTGTTTAATTTTAGTTTTATGCCTTAAAAAAAATGTAAATACACAACACAGAATTTCTGAGGAAAAAGATAATTAGGCTATTGTAAGAATAAATGAAACATGTTTTTATGCTTTCAAACAATTAGACATGTTAAAACACAGAATTTGGTAACAATAAAACAATGTTGGAAAAAATAAAACATTTAATAGGGCCCTAAACATGTAATTTTTGCTAAACTTTTGATAAATTGATGTTAAATTGTTTCAGTTTCATGATTTTAATTAATTAGACATATTGCGATGTATTAGACATATTGCGATTGCGATTTAAAGCTCTTTATGTTCTGTATTATTCAACAAAGACAAGCTATAAATCATTGTATATTATGACCAATACAATATTAGATAAATGAAACATAAATGTTCTTTTCTGTAGGCCAGGCCTATATGTTACGATGAAATTAGGTGATGCATGAATTGATATGAATGACATTTTTAACAACTACAATCACAGTATATTGACTGATTTGTTGAACTTCCAACCTTGT